GCTTTAAGTAGTTAACCATAATGGAGGCATCAATAATATAAGGCATTTGATGGTAATATGTTTGTGATTCATGACTGAATCTATTTAGAATTTAGCCTGCACTCTTAAAAGTGGATTTCTGATTGGTCATTCCTCTACATTTTTTCCCGTGTTACATTTTGCTTCTTCTATTGCTTCATCTCAACGCGTCCCCGTGAAAACGAAAAATGCAATTGTATCCTATGAAAACTATTTTGAACTCTCTTGGATTAAACAGTAATGGCAATAAAAGTTGAACGTGAGAAATAGTAAAAAAAGTTAATGTTAGGGAATGACCCATTTAAAATCATATACCATATTGGTATTTAGTGGGTGATTGGTGATATTTAAAGACGACTAATGTAGGTATAGTAATGCAATTCCATTTCTAAATTAAAATATTTATATTTCCCTACAGGGGCGGATCCAGGATTATTTGAAGGGGGGGGGGGTCGGAACGACAGATCTCGAATTCGAAGCTGACCGTCGCCCCCTTGGCCTGCTCAAGGACCCCAAAATTTTTTTGGTGTTACGAGAGCAAACAGTGCCCTTTGATACGGTTTAGAACTGTGATTTAGCTAGTCAAAATTTTTATTTCAAGAGGGGAATATTGGTGTGATATATTTTTCAGAAACCGAAGGGGGAGGGGGGTCAGGAACCCCCTAACACCCTGTAAATCCGCCACTGGTTACCATTTAGGGCTCTTTACATAATGTGTAGACATGGTAAAAATTAAAAATTAAATTAAAATAGAGACAGCGGTGGAATTTTGTTCTATGCACATATATATCTTAAGAAATTCAATACAACTTTGAATTTATTCAATTTAGTTTTGGACACTTCAGCGTGTGAAATGCACCTCTATATTGAGTTTGGGTGTAAAGCGTTTTCTTCATGGCATATTCCACCAAATAGACCAATTACAAATGAAGTGCTGTGAGAAAAATTAGTGTTTTTTTTCCTATTTTTTTCCTGACATTTTTTGTGTGTTTTGCTAGGGTTTACTCTGGTGTCAACTAGCAGGCTAAGGTGTAAACTATGCATATTTTTTCAGGAGCAGGCACAGGTGTCGTCCAGTGTGGAATCTCTGGCGGAGCGAGCTACTGACTGTGAGCGGTGCAGTAGTTTGTTTTCAAACACGATCAAGTACTTTTCAACAGTATATCTTTGTGTCATTGGGGGTTATGTCAGTATGTCTGCTGTCCATGGTGTTATGAAATGTTTCATTAAATTTTGTTCATGCAGTTATGCAGGCATTTCTTAGCATGGTTGTCAATGGGAATTTATTTGGTGTTTTCTGCCCTGAATTCCAAAGGCGTGGTGCATAGCGCTAACAAGAATTGGGTTGTCTTTTCATATGATTTTTAAGCAAGACATTTCTTAATGTCTTCTGCATATTTTGATGAAAATTTTCAAGACGCACAGATATTCAGATGGGAAAGAAATTATTACAATTTCGACAATCTGGGTGTCCTCGTATTTTTATATATATATATATATTTTTTTTTTACCATTTACTTGATGGTCTGCATTCTAGGAGTATTCTCTAAGTATATTATTCATTCATTTTGGATCATGTTAAACATAAGACAGCCTCGACTTATTTCCTGCTTGGCTATTTTATGGACAAGCCAATGCGAGCTTAAATCACTCTATCCGGTGTAATATATCATTTAATTAATTAGTAGCAATTTAAGTGCCTGTCAGTTTAATTCAAAATTGCTAAAATTAATTTTCTCATTTCAGAAACCCACCGAGGTACAGTTCAACATGCGCCTGGTAGAAGCCTTACCTTTGGTTCAGATTCAGGAACTCTACATGAACGCCTATTCAGGCATTTATTTTATGGTAATTGAATAAATATATTTGTCTGGGATTTTTAATATTTTGATATGAAAAATTATGATAATGATAATAGTAAAAGATAGAAAAGGAGTATAAAGATATAAATGTAATAACCGTTTCAGCAGTTTCAAATTCAATCTACATAATTTAATCTGTAACTATTGCCCTTGGTATTGCTTTGACGATTTGCTGTGGTACGTGAAAATATTTGAAAGTGAAATGGTTTAAAAGCTTTGCACACGTACATTGTATTGAAAAACGATAATATTTGAGTACTTAAAAATCTTAAGTCTGCTGCAAGGCTGTTGGTGAACCAAAAGATTTTCTATAAACACACATTTATAAAGTGTAATTACAAACCAGCTTTTTGAAGTTAAATTTTGTTTCTAAATTTTGTTCCATGTCATGATGTTTTCAATGTACTTTAAAAGAAATTTATTCACCCGCGGGATTATCATTTCCTCACATTTCATAATGTAATTCATAGCTTTTTATAGGCCTTTTTTTTTTTGCTACCACCAATTATACTTGTATATATAATGCAATTACAAATCGGAATAAAATGATCAAGAGATAAAGATTCTGTTGCTTTTTAGTAAATGACATTGGATGTAAAAGGAATTGGATCGCTTTCTTTTCATGATATAGACCTGATTATATGCCTCCAAGTCCTATTTTTTAGAATTTATTTGCATACATTTTGCTTGGTCTATTCAAAATAATGTTCCAATTATTACCAATTCCTTCATGTATTTGCAAACCAATTTGAATCACAAGTGGTCCTATGCAGTAAATGCTATTACAAGCTTTCATCGTCTCACTTGGTACCCCTAAAATGTAATTGACTGGCCCCACCTGTCACCCCTAAAATTTGAATGAACTCGTCCCACCTGTCACCCCTCAAAAACAAAATAGACTCTTCCCACCTATCACCCCTTAAAATTGAATGGACTCTTCCTACCTGTCACCCCTTAAATTTGAATGAACTCGTCCCACCTATCACCCCTTAAATTGAATGGACTATTCCCACCTGTCACCCCTCAAAAACACAATGGACTCTCTCCAGCTGTCACCCCCCGAAAACAATGTACTCGACCCACCCGTCACCCCTTTTAATCAAAAGGACTAGACCCTCAAAAGCAAATGGACTCACCCAACCTGTCACGTTCCAAATCTTTTCTTAAAATCCCGAGTATATCAATACTACTACTTTTACTTCTGTATCTATTAGATTAAACTGAAAACGCCCTTAAAAAAGCGTATTTATTCAGGCAAAAATGATTGTCGTTCACAAATGTCAGAGTACAGTTACAAATGATAAAATTAAATTTTCTTCTTCAATGTACATCGTAATAACGAATAATACAGTAGTAAATTATAATAAATAATCGTACTCGAATTTCAACTTGCTATCTGGTGAAAATGCAACTTTACCTTAAAATCTGAAAGTTGTGATATGTAAGCACTTTAAGATTATATTATGGCTTTTCATATTGTACTATAGCTTTAAATTATGAAACTATGGCATGACGTAAGAAAATTGAATAGAAACTGACCGGTCAAGTGGAAATCAAAATAAAGCTTTATCTTATAAATATATTTTTTTTATTATTTATATCAATCAATCCTTACGGTATAATATGATAATTAAAATAATCGATGTCTGATTTTAAGGAAAATGAAGCGCGATAAATCTTAGTGCGCCATTTCAGTATGTAGAAATTTTAATAGAAAGCTATCATTTTGAAAATCATGACCGATTGTCAACATGTAACTTTTGCATGTGCCAGTCCGTGTCTTGTTCCAAAAAAAAAAAAAAAAAAAAGGAAGACTAGGGCAGCTTCTATCAGTCGTATCTTGGCAAAGGAAATAGCAGTGATCTGAAATATGAAAATAACACATGTCATTGACATAATTAAATATCCCCATGTCATTTAAACTTAGCTTGGGTAAAATGATAATGGAAGAGACATGCAGTTCAAGATCAAATATTCTCCGATATTTCACAAATTTCAATGGATGTTGTACAACTATTTCTATTACACTACGAGAATGACATGGAAAAACACGACAGTATTATTGGAAAGCGTTCTCAAAGTAAAGTTTTAAACGACTACGAATAATTCCGTCAAGGAACAGAATATATTACTGAGTAAAGAGTTCATAGAAAGAAAATGACATAATGCATAATTTAGTTTTCTCGTGAACAATTACCAAATCTAATAATGAACGACACAACAGCACTCTTTTACAACATGCAAAAGACGGACATGTAAAAATCGGAACACATCCTACATCAAGCGAGATTTTCCACAGTCCAGTTTATACTGTTCTTACTGCATGATAGATCAACAAGAATTGTTTCGAAAATACTAAAAAAAATTTCCAGGTGTCAAATTTACAGGTACGCACAGTAAATCGGTTGTAATTTTGCTGAATCTGGACACCAAAAATGATATATTATATGACAGCTTTTTCAAAATCCAGTGAAACACCCAGACTAACAAGTAGTCAAGGCCGTGTGAAAATATAAGGATATTACTTCTTGGTAATTTGAACTGGAAGAAATACGGAAAAATTGTAAGAAACGTCTTTAGCATAAAGAACATCTCGATCATTATAAACGACACAGTGTCCATTAAAATTCCGAATTAATACATGCTTCTGACAAACTCTTACAAGTTGTATGAAACTCACAAAACCGGAAAAGTACTCGTGTGCTAATGACGTAGGCGACAGCCATGCACTGGTCTAAAACTATCGAGTTATGCAAAATAAACTTTACGTGTTTCCCTTCTTGATCGAACGCCATTTGTTCCAATGAATGAAATATTCGGCCTTGCAACTTCACCACACCTATCCTGCGTCCTCTTCTTACACGGCCCAGCTGTAAAGTGACTGATCTAGATGATAGCTCACACTGCGCTGAACGCCTTATTATTATGTAAATTACACCAGGTATGGCGAATTTTGATTGGCTGTTGCTGTTGAAATTGTTCTCACAAGAAGGACGAATCTATGCAATTTTTCAGACTAATTACTAGATTTCGGTATTGCTCGATCTTGAATGTAATATGCTCTAATGCCACCGTACAATAATAAACATATGCATATAATATACACTGTTTGAAATTTGTAAAACGTATACATGTATCTGCTCTCTCAGCTCGCCTCGAATTGTTGGTCTCTAGTTTGCCGTTTAGATGTGGAGCCTGCTGAGCCAAAGACTCGACTTGAAATTTCATGTTCGTCTTGTAGTAGTGTAAAAGGCTTTTTTTTTTTTTTTTTTTTTTTTTTTTTTTTTTTGCAAAAGGTATTTTAATATATCTGCTGATGGATTTCTTATGGTAATGAAGATGAAAATAATTAAGCAGCTGTTCTAAACTTATCACTTAGTGATGTTTAGGTAGAGAACTGTGCCAGTAAGACTTCTTTTTTTACTTGACATTTAACTTCTGTGGGCAAATCTGCAACTAGGCTCTTTGCTGTATACCTGTAGATGCATTTTCTATTTATTTTGAATAAAATCAAAATATTTATTTTGAAAGTTGATCTTCGGGAGATAAAAAAAAACTCGTAATTACAATTTGAAAAAATACGTTTCAGTGAGCAATTCTGTAATACCGAAAGCGCATTTTTGCAAGTTTCAAAATGCTATAATTTCGAGAAAATTATAATTTGGATTACAGTGTTGTCAGGTTATAACATCTGGTGAACATACAATATATACGTAGGCCTACGTGTCTGGAAAAAAGTTTCTGATAGGCAGTTAACGCAATGAAAACGAGTTTTTTTTTTCTCCCGAAGGTCAACTTTCAAAATAAAGGGATAACAACTGTTCATTTTGGCCAAAAAATGGATTTTCCTAGGGTAAAGGACAATTTTCCCATATTTACCGATGGTTAATGAATTCATTCCGACATTCAAAATTAGGACTTGTTTTTTTTTCTAAGAAGTTTGTTTTTTTGTAACATTCTCTTAAGAGATTATTACTGAGTGTAGCCATCTATGAAGGTCACATGATATGACGGCAAGCAAAAATTCAAGAATAATCACGTTTACTGCCGTTTTGGTGGTAAAACAGAATTTATTTTATTTCTATGAGTTTTTTACAATGTATTTATTATGAAATATGGATATCATACCAACAGTCGATGTCCCTTTGAGCTACCGATAAATTACTAAAACTAACTAATCAGCAAACAAATGTACTATTTAACATACAGGGTTGATGTTAAGTATAAAGATCTAGTCTATTTCTTTTTTCTCCTTGAATCAGATCAAAAATTTTGTGAATGAAATGATAGTTATGTGCAACGTTTTGATTGATACTCATTTTGATACAGAATATAACTAAACAGCCCAACGCAAACGTCACATTCGATATCAAAGGTCGACCCTGCATATTAAATACATAGTCTACATGTAGACGACAAACTTCAACAAGAGAGAGAATTTGGGCATGAATGCGGGCGTAGTCGAATAGGGATCTGACATCTTTGATGGAAGCCGCATCTTATATCGTCGCGAACGGCAGTTAAGAGTCACTGAAATTAAACGAAGAAAAATTCACATTTAGGAAGCGATGTATAAATATTTGATAAAGCAGTTAATTTAGATTGAGTGAAATGTGCACATGGCCATTATGCAACAGTGACGTAATATCCTTTTTCCTTTTTAAAGTTTTTTTTTTCAAATTTGCTCCATTTACATGTACAATACTTGTTTCTACACTAGTCCGACTCAAGGCCACGACAAGTGACATTTAAAAAAATCTACATGTATAAAGTGCGACTGCCGTTTCTCGGTACACGAGTGCAAATTGCACCATATTAGACAAATATCTTCAACACAAAATAAGCGATGTTATCCTACATCATCTAGTTTACAGCAAATTCTTGCCGTTTTCGGTGTCAAATTTTCCACCTTCATGTGATTTTGGCGAAGTGACATGGGTTTACTATCTTCTTCATCTCCTACTGACCTAGTCGGAACACTTCTCACCAAATGCTCACCTGATTTAAATTTACATAATAATATACAGGTATCCAACTCTCCGTGCGAAAGCCTCAATGTAAAGTTACCATACGGTTTATGTGCAGGCATGCCACTTTTAGAATAAAAAAGGCATTTATTTTGTTTTTCATTCAAAACTGGCACAACGCGGTTAAACATGCTGGCGTAGGTTTTCTAAGCATGCCAGAGAATTAACATTTACTTTGTTACACTTAGTTTTCATTATCTTGCAACTTACATTTTAATGTTCTTTTATACGATTCCAATTTACTGCATATTCATGTCCAGATTAACATCATTCGCCGATCAAATTTTATTCTTAAAAATCGAAGACGAGCATCAAACGCCAATCGCATTTGTCTAAATGGTCACCTTTAATAATATTCCAATATCATATACACATATGTGCTCCATACGAAAATAAAACATAAATAGATCTCAGTTTATTGTGATGTCCACGCATGTTACCCAAGGCTTTGTTTTATTTTTATAATAGTACAACTTCAAAACTATAGTTCTCATAGATACTTGTACATTTGTGCGGTTATTTTTTTTAATTCGCACCCCTTGTTCTCGGAGGGCGATGATACGCAGACGCACGTAATCGCTAAGAGGCATCTTGGAATTGTGATGATTTGGAAAATTTGAGTGTCGATTTATACCGTTCACTTGGCAGGTGACACGATGGCATGGAAATCAGTGACATAAACAGGTCATATTAAACAAAATACTTATTGGCCATTTAGGAAGTCCAGATACACAAACAATCCTGTTGACACGTGTCGGTTGATTTAGAATTATGTGCAATTGATAAGTTTGGATTGAAGAGCGTCATCGCAATGTTAACATTAATTTTAGACGACGCGTGTCACACAGTAGTGATTATGTAATAGTCAGGGCTTAATCACTGTGTTTGCCCAGCATGAATAAAGCTAACCTGAACTGATTGTTAAGTAATGTGAGATGACACGTGCCAACCAGTGAAGTTAGCCCGAGAGATTGTAATCCAGTTTTTTAAATAAATTTCTTTTGATGCGTTTAAGTATGAAGAAGGCTTTTGGTTAAGTTTGGGCTTTAGATCGTAAATATGAACTATTCCTATCGTTTTGAATTACATATCAAACAATGATAGAGAAACAGTTCCTACTTTGTGTCCTACAGAATCAAGGAATCAGTCTTTCGGCCGGCCACCCGTCGCCTTGTCAAATAAAGAAATATTCGAAATTCGACAACGGGCCAGTTCCCCAGGGAACTTTTGCGTTCAGTTGATGGGAATGTTGTTTACGATTGATGAACGAATACGAAAGGACAGAAATGTTACGGGTGTAGATGGGAGAGATCCTATATGCAAATATAGACTGAACTATATTAAAGATATGGCTAACAAAATGTTTATCACTGAAACAACTGACAAGTCTTTTTGGAAAAAATGCATTTCGTCTATGAACAAAACTAATAGAAATAAAGGACATACTATAAAAATAAATTTCAATCTTGTAAATAATATGTATATAGGAAAGACAGTTTGAAGCCTAATAAATATTACCTGTACAAGTAGTGTTTTATTTGATCTTTAATAAATTCATAAATTCACTTATTAAACTCTATGTAAATTCAATCAATTCATAACTACAATGTACACGAAAATTGCTGTCATCACCGAATCTTTTTGGTAAAGCGACTTTTAAAAATCACTGTTGGCAAGTTCTTATACTTAAAATCTCCGTATCAGAGTAGAGTGATCAAAGTAGAGTGAAGCCACCGCGCATTAAAGGTCAATTAACGCTTGGACGAACACTTAATTGCGATCACGCTCACCTTCGATCTTTATCTCAGCGAGCTAGGGTTAGGCTCTTTTGTTAGCAGAAAGTTTGTCACGATAATTGCCTGACGGGCAGGGTATGGAACTATTGTTAACAGAAACCAAACAGCGTATGGATGACAATGTTATTTCCATAGTTACCGAGCCAGGCCGTCCGTACAACCCGCAGCGACCCGGAGGGTAAGTAAGGGGACATTCCGGCGGCACTGTACTCTTAGTAGTAATTTCTAAAAATGAAATCAACAGAACAACAGAACACTGCATAATGTCTTCCATCAACTAACATTAACACTTTAAAAATAGTAAACTTGTTTATATCAGACACGTATGAAGCAAATTTTTTCATCAAAATGGAAATAACGCGCGTGAATATAAGATGCAGCGCAAACACTTGGATGCTTGACTTAATTTCATTTTGTCTGTGACACTAGAGAATGTACAAACAAGAAGATAAACTACCCACTTCGTACATGTACATACCCTCTACCAAGGCTACAGATTGATTTTTCGCTAGATATTCACAGATATTTGTCTCTGGATAATACATGGCACATTTGTCTACGTTGGAGCAAAGAGATCATAATTTATCTGCGGCACTAGTAAAGGGTACTTCGAATACTCCTTGTGCGTATGACTGAAGCGGATACAAAAATGTGGAAGGGGGGTGGGCTGAGACCCCGTGCCCTCCCCGGCTCTTATGCGTATGATTGATAATATATAATCATATTTTTTATAAATCGCTTGTGCATGGTAACAGTGAGTTTTTCTTCTGTCAACCAGCAGACCTCAACAGACATTCACCGGGAGTTACATTGTAGGTACGAGCACCTCTTCTACCTTCGATTCTACATTGTGAGTTGCAGGCCTGCTTTCTTCTTAGGCCGTAAGGCAGATGAAAATTGTCTAATAAATATTTAATTTGAGTAACCATAACAAATGTTTTATGGATACTCCAGTACTCAAGGTCTACGAATGAATCGTTATCCAGTATGCCAGCAATTTGGCAAGAGATGTCTTCTGACTGTACTGGTACGCTCCCTGATCTCGTAGATGTTGCAGAATTATATATTTTTTAGAACTGGTGAAGCCAAAATGTCCATGTGTAGGCCTACATCTGGAAATCAAATCGAACGTGATTAAGTTTGTAAATGAACGTAAAAAATGAAACATTAGGGTTATTTTTTAGACTGCAATCTAAATTAATTCCTAAATGCACGAGTGGACTGTTCATACATGTCATAATTCAACTACATGTAATACAATCCCCGGCCATTTTCTTTGGTCAACAAACTGAGGAGTTTATGTGCGACAATGGCGATGGTGTCATAATGTTCGCTATGAAGTACAGCACATTACGATATTTCGATATCCTCTAAAATAAGATGTGTGAACTGTGTAAAACTGAATGTATTGTATCCAAAGATATGACATAGTTGTAGAGTAAGCTTTTAAAATCAATTATTGAATACAAGCATTATAATATTAACATATAAATAATTCAAATTTTGTTCAGAAATTACCTTGTTTGGAAATCTCAGCTTTCATCATCTGATGATCCCTGGTCGGAGGATATAATATCCGTCTCTTTCAAAAAGTCCATCTCCTCCAGTCGCGAAAACTTGGGATTAGTGGGTGGAGATGCTACAATAGGGTCTAGGCTGGAAAACAGGTGAGAAAATTGAAAATATGAAAAAAAAAACACAAACCAATAAAAATTTTGTAAAGTGCAACGACAGTTAGTTAATTCAAAACTGGAAATACATTTTGTAAAGAAAATACAATAGAATGGTTAGTTAAAGGTATAAAGACACGAGAAACTAACATCTCAAAGAATAGTGAAATATCAAGGTTAGTTGAAAATTTAAAAAACTAGTTTGGTTCAGTGTTAGTCTTTACTGAGAAAAAAAGGAAAAAATTACCGTTAGTCAAATGGGTAATTATAAGTTGTGAGTTGGACGAGTCCCACAAACAATTTTCAACTAGAATATGTTAGTGTAGACAACATTGTATCAGTTAATTATAGTTGTGCCGTGCGTAAAGTACTATGCAATGCAGGTATGCGAGAAATCTGTTTTCCCCCAAAGTACGATTGCTTACTCATTTTTAAATTCAGCATGCCTGTTTTTAAATAAAAGTGGCCTTCGCTTCTCCTTGGTTAACTTGCCGTTAGGAATGCGACCTTTGCTATAAATAATAGAAATCACACTTAAATGAAAAAATGCACATCAACTAAAGATGGTGTAGTAGGCCTATGTCTTATGCATCACAGCACACAACAACAACAATCAAGCTGTTAAATAACATGCAATTGTCTTAAAGCGGGGCACAGGAAGTTTCGGCCTAGGATGGCACCAAATGCAAACATTCTTATATAGTAAGTGTTACAAAAGATGATGGACAATCTTATGTGTGTACACGTTAATTCCAATGTTAAACGTCCGATGACATGATAACGCAATGTTATCCGTATCTTACAGTCACTAAATTTGTTAAATGGCTAACCGCCACATGAAGATATGCCCGTATTTAAAAATACGTTTTAACCATTTTGGATTAAAGTTTGTTGCAAGAAGTAAGTGAAACGTGTCTGCATGGTAAGATAAGATAAAGTTAACAATACAAGACTGTGAAAACAAGTAGATGGAAGTTGGAAGTTACGTGACTACTGAAAGAGACAAAGTAGAAATCATTTTGCAGCTTACCTGAGGAGAAAATTTCAACATATTTAAAGATGCTCCCTAAATTACAATGCAGAAGCTTCTTATAAATTGAGTGGTCACGGTGTATGTGCATGCTCTCTATTTTTCAGACCTGACCAGTGATTTACCTTTTATTCCCTCGGTGTTCTTCCTGCCACTTCACATGGCGAGCTGGCGAACTGTGTATAAGTGGTGCCATGCTGTCACAAGTAGACGTCTCGGAAAATGACCTGTTGAATGCTGCAATGTTAGCATTGTAATAATAAGACATACATTTCTGATCCTGCCTATTATACTGAACATAAATGACCGATGAACTTACATCATATTTACAAAACAAAACCGAGAACGTGTCATCCTCACAAAAATGACAAAACAAAACAGATCTTTATTAGAAAAAAATTCTCATATAGGTAGGATCGATAAACGTTTAAGTATCACAAATAGAGAAAACATAAAATGTTATGGTTCTCTGTCACAGATGAGTATTGTTCTGTTAAAGGGATAACAACTTTTCATGTGGGATTCAAAATTCCACAATAAATAATTGTACACAAGAAACATAGAAATATCATAAATATAATATATTCAGTTTACCACCTAAACGGCGGTTATCGCAATTATTCTGGAATCTGTGCTTGCCATCGGACCAAGAAGTCCTTCATAGATGGCCACCCTCTTTAGAGATTATTACAAAAACCACACTTAAAAATAAAAAACTATCGACTAACTTTGTCGGAACGGATTTATTAACCATCGGAAAGTATGGGAAAATTGTCGTTTACCGCAGGAAAATCCGTTTTATGGCACTTTTCCCGGCAAAATGAAGAGTTGTCATCCCATTAAGAATACACGAATTATGTGATATCCATATATACGATCTGAGGCCATGTGTGTGAGGCATGTAAGTGCATGTATACCTAGTTTTGACTTCCTTTGCTCAGAGTTTTGCCGTCCATTCTCATACGGTGGATCCACCTGGTGGGTTGAAGGAAACTCCTCTATTTGGTTGCAATTTGATGATTCGTAAGGCGGGAAGATATCATCACTTGGGATGCCTGACATGATCAGCCTGTCATACTCGGCTATTTTATCCAAAAGTTGTTGAATCACCTCATCTTTCTGAAATCGGAAGTTTATGGTTGTCGGTGATGTCGTGTGGCATACATGTAGGCTATTGCATCTTAGTACTTTAAAATTAAAATTTTTATTAAAAAATTAAAATTAAATTAAAAAGTGTATTTTCTTGTTTACTTTCTTATTCTCTTTGAGGATGGCTTATTCTAAAAGCACGTTTCATTCTGTAAATAAAATCGAATCGGTATCCCTACCACAAAAAGTATTTAGCTGGGAGAAAGGATAGGGGGAACGGTAAAATAGGATCCTTTTAGATAAAGCCACCACCCGAGAAAGTCACTTTACATTTAAATTTTAAAAAAGCAATTCTAAAATGTGAATGACTAGAATACATTGTGTCAATATTAGTAATAGTAATAGGAGAGATATCTTACGGCAAGAACTACTTCTCTGCACCATCTGTTCTCGTCCGCTAGCTTATCAATCTTGTTTTTAAGGTCTGTGTGATGATCTACATGCTTTTGTTTACTCAAGGTGGCACGGATTTTCTTCCCAGTGCCTTTGGGATTCTTCTTTAGTTCAATTATCTAAAAGAAAAAAGCTAACTGTTAATGCGTGCGAGAAGTTTTTTCGCAGGTGCATTATTTGTGATTCTATATTGTTTGATATTTTACTATCAGGAGTCCCGTAAAAATCCCGGCTTACATGCAGACACCCTTCATCGTATGAGTGTCACTTCGATAAGATTATGCTAGAGCATAATATGAATTTCATCACAATTCTTTGATTTCATAATTTATTGAAAGTTTGTCCGGCTAAAATTTAAAATAAACAGAGTATCAATAAATATCAACGTACCTTTGGAACAAACACCAAGCACTGTGTTATAGTGGTACATAATATGATAGACAATCCAGTTATCAGGAAACTAGCGTCCTGGTTGTCTCTGACTACGAAGGATATGGCTACACCACACACGCACAGCACTACCACGTTGTATACGCTCATACCGATATACTTGGAGTCGTTCAGTGCAGGAATGCTGACGTGACGGGTCTCCCAGGCAAGAAAACAGCCAAATATCTGGACAGACAGGAACATATTTTAAAAGCTTACACGTTGGGTACCCAGTTCTAGAACGTATGCAGTGTTTGCAAGATGAACTGACACACTACTTTGTATCACTGAGTCTACTTTTTAAATACATGCCAAACATGTATGACAAAAGGTATTGCAAGTGAGTATTATATCTACATATATTCAGGACACATTATATTACAGGATAACGCAATTAGAAGAGTTTTTGGTATGTTTCCAAAGTTATTGAACATTATTTTTACATGTCATCATCATTAGTGCCTTTCGATAAGTTTGCCTTATTGGTTGTTGCCTTAACTCGTTTGAATGGAATATAAAGGCATTCAATAAATGTGATATAAATGAAATATACAAACTCACTAATAAAACGCCCTTGTACGCATAAAGAATGGAAAGCCAAATTGTCATGTGCGTGCTGAAACAATAATCCACCTGTGGTATAATTTCCATGTCTATACCACGCTCCTGAAATCACGAAAGATCCAATTCTGTTCAAACAAACTTTGCCTTTCTTCCACTTAAATATTTAGAACGGAATATGCCAGGTTATTTTCATATTTTATTAATTCTATGTTGTTCTTAATTTATTTTAAACAAAAACTTTATTTGACGAAAACTGCATGGGCCTTTGTCAAACACATCCTTAAGAAAGTTCCATTAAAATGTCCAACTACCGCATACATATATATTGTAATAGTGTAGGATATTATTGTACCAAACAACTGTGTGTTTAAACAATGTGTAGGGGAAAGTCTAAGATATGTTTACTATCAAATTTGAAAACACCAGATATGTTTTAAGCTATACTGTGAAAGCTCTAATCTCTAACAAATAGTGTTGTTAGCGGTGTCGGATGTAAGAGATAGCTGGTGGTTTTCTTACCACGGCCGGTAGGTGTTTGGTCTGTTTCTGCATAGGGTCGACTATCTGCCATGTAATGAGTATGATCAGATCAAACACAAGCAGTCCCAATACAATAAGAATCAGTTTGTAGTCCTTGATTACCTGGAGAACAAAACAACGAAACATACCAGGAAAAACGTTCATAAAGATGACAAGAAAACCCCAAAACAAATCGATACCTTTAACGCTTATTGTTTCATTTTTTGAAAAGAAAACGAGTTGGTTATGTAATATTGTGTCATTACGGATAAATTTAGTTCCACTTAAACCATAACGAATCTTCCAAGTTTAGACTAACCTTTCTGTTTAACTTCACGTTGGTAAATATGGCATGTACGCGCCATGTCTTGCTAAATAAAGCACCAAATGAGAGCGTGAATCCGATGGATAAACTCCAGCAGCGACCCTAAAATGAGATTAATATCATGCATAATAAATTTGTATTAAGTCCCTGACCATATTAAAAATGTGGGGCCTTACCAGGACCTCATCTTTCTAAGTCCTGTTAGGTCAAAACAAAACTGCCTTCACTGCAACGGCTTGTGGTGGGTTGAGTATCAAACCATTATAGACGGGACAGTAACTGGTTTGAGACAAGATAACTGCTCTTTGAGATGAAAAGTATAAGACAGTTTAGTATTAGCCAATCACATTTTATTTATGATCTAAATTTTCTCCAATCCTACAGACGGATTCAGAGTGCATGATATAAAGATCTGAACTTAGTGAAATTTTAATACATGTACAAAAGGTATAATGGCACTGACTGCAAGACACTGGCGTTCTAACTTGGTTTTCATACTAAAGAAAAGTGTGTGGGTTCCTCTAATATATAAACTTTTCTGTTTAGAAAAATCATAACGGGTCTGTTGTAATGATGCTATTTTAGCAAACTGCAAGGCCTACCAAAATTAACACAGACAAGATCAAGCAATGCAGGCCTTTTCACATGCTCTTACCTACATTTATACATGCATAAAAGCATCTCTTACCACGCATATATACGGCAAGCGTTCTGGCGACGTTAAACTGCCGTCCAATCCCAGCATGGGCACGGCAGAATACGTCAATATACAACCTATCACGATTACGTTGTTCATATTCGGACTGGACATTTTAATGTATCTGAAAAATATGCATTAAATTATACAGGCAATTAAAAATATGATGGCTAATACGATATGAATTAGAATGCACTATTTAAGTCGCTGTAAAATATATAGAAATAAATATATATATATATATATATATATATATATATATATATACACCCTGGACAAAAGAAGTGTCACCCCCTAACTCAGAGTAATAAAAGTAGGCAGATCTTGGGTAGTTATAATGCCTGGTCTACTTATAATGTGACTAATGAGTATAAAACCGCTAAACCATGTAATTGTATTGTTGGTCTTGTACATGTACAGCAAATGTTATTCCTGTCTTTCTCCAATATGGCAAGATACAGGCAATTATCTAACGGTTATAGGTGCAAGTTATTAACCTGAAAAGAGGCGGAATATAAGCAATGTCAGAATATCGATACAATTGAATTGTTCAGTCAGAACCGTGCAGAGAGTCTGGTCTCGGCATAGAAACACTGGATCAAGAGACAAATTGCCTCTGATGGGTCGTCCAAGAAAGACTACTGGCCGTGAAGACCGACGGCTGATTTTGATTTCCAGGTTGTCAAAGTTCGACACTGCTTGTCAGTTGACAACACAGTGGAACAATTTCACACATAAGAATGTGTCTGTGAAAATTGCTAGGCGTCGGTTACATGCTCATAGAGTGTACAGCAGGGTAGCAAGACTGAAACCTCTGATATCGTTACAAAACAGGCAACGTAGAGTGAACTAGGGTCAACAGGATCTGGAACTGGACAGTCCATGACAATTGGTCCTATATATTTTTTCTGATGAGTGGCGCTGCATGTGGTCTGACCTCTGATGACAGACGGGTATGATGCTGGCGAACTGCTAGTAAAGCATTTGAACCAAAAGCACTGAATTTTCTAACCAGGATCAGCATATTCATCATGGTGTGGGGCTGCATCAGCAGCCATGGCGTGGGCGAATTGATAGTGGTTGATGGAAACATGAATCACTAGAAATATATCGATGTTTTGGAGTCAGGCTTGCTACCATCTATTACTAACATGTTTGGTGACAGGAATTATCCATTTATTCACCAGGATGACAATGCTCCTTGTCACAGGCCCAGAGCACTTGATGATTGGTTTGACCAACAGGACATTCGCAGGCCTAGGGTGATGTGGCCTGCCCAGAGTCCGGATGCAAACATAATAGAAAATGTGTGGAATGATATGTCAAAACTTTTGACAAATGTCCGTCTAACCAGCAGAGAAACTCTGTTATATTCAGTGTTTCATGCTTGGGCCAGCATAAGCCCTGAACGCATCAGACAATTATATGAATCCTTGCCTCGTAGACTGGCACCTATTATTAGGTCACGTGGCTATGCCACTAAGTACTAATTTTGGACTTGAAACTGCATATTTTGGTAGAATGTATATTTTGTTCTCATTTTGTGAATTTTTGTGGAATTTGATGTTAATAAAATGATACCAGGTGCATATCATTCCACTTTCATTTATATCCCCCATAGTATTAGTTCAGTAGAGGTGACACTTCTATTTGTCCAGTGTGTGTATATGGAAAATTAAGCTTAATCTCGTTTTCACCACGCATTAGCACCGTGAATATGAAAATATTTCAAACATATTCCCACGCAATTTTTATGACAAAAGTCACTACAAAAGTCCTGTCTCTGTGTTTGCCTTATAATCGTATTGAACAATTTTTTTTATATATTACCTATGGTGTCGGTATTTGACGTTTATGACTAAGAACGCAATGGCCATGATCTGTCCCAATGAAGCTAGCACCTCTAACACAATATAGATTCTGATATCTACGCTCTGTGTCTCATATATCTGTTTACTGCTATCTCTTGGCGGACCGCTTCCTGTAGAAAGAGAACAAATAACGGGAAGGTTATGTTACCAACTTACCAATATTTGTATATCTAGTAGACATATGATGTGTTTCATCTGCAAATTTTCATCGAGTTCTTTTGTCAATAGCTTGGGAAATAAACAGATACTACTTTTACCAGCAAATATTCCGTCTGCTTACAGACATCAGGGAATGGGCTGACAACCTATCACCCTATAAGTTCATTTCCCAAACTATTGGCAAAAGAATTTCTAGAAGCTACATAATGGAAACGCGATTAGCTTTTTCAACGCCAATCAATTTAAGGCCTAAGAGTTAGCATTGCATGTTAACACTTGCACATCAGTTTTTATCTTAAATGTCACATCATTAGCAGCTGTAAATAAAGGGCATCACTTTGCATGTTCGACAAAAAAGGTTTACTGAAGCCTACGCGCAACCTATAGCCAAGAGACGAATACCAATTACTGTGTCTAATAACTGTGTTTGTGCGGTAAGAATATCACGAGCACCTTACCTGACCAGGCTATGGTGTCTGGGCGGAAAATGAGCCGATCCGACGACATGTTGAAATAACCGACGTTGATCATATCTTCTCCACCTGAGATTAAAATAAATACTCGTTATTATCTTGCCAAAATAAATAAATAAATAAAGTAATAAATAAATAAAGTAATAAATTAATAAATAAATAATAGAATGAATTTAAAAAGGGGAGAACAGTTATGAACAATTTGGTGAATTTTATCAAGAAATCATTATTTCTCTTTTAACTCATGTGTCTATGAAACATGCCAATAAAGTGACGAAACTAAATAAATTCAACCTTTCAAGGTTGTCTTACAACAGTGCTGCCATTTAATCAAATAATACTTTATTCATGGGTAAAAAGTGGCTTGCGCTGTTACTAGTAACCCTGAAAAATTGTATAAAAACAGTATTCAAAACCACCAATCATAGAAACAAGCGTGTTCCTCACAATCCAACACACGTACATAATACAGCAAAATTTGACGTTCCAAAGAGAAATCGATGGTAATGATCGACAGGCATAATTCTCAGACTCCCGCCCAGTGGGATACAACGTAGATGAAATCGACAGAATCGTACTAATGGACGGACCTCTCATCATATAGTACATAATTTGATTTCGCCACTTTATAGGGTCCCAAGCTATCGCACACAATAAAGCTTGCACAATATTATTTTTAAAGTGAATACTTATATGTTACATGTGCACGGGCTTCTACGTCCCAAATGTGTCACAGCGTCTTTCTAAATATAAGAAAAATGTAAACTTCTTCACTGATATAGACTTGCTTCGGGAGGTCGTGGCTTCGACCTTAAACACTGTGTCATAACAAAGACAAGAAAAATGCACGAAAAAAATGAGGGATGGTGCCCATGTTGTCTCCTCACACAGCAGAATACAGAGTTCTTAAAATCTTAAAAGACCTTTCTCGATAGAAATTACTATTTATATCATTATTTTGTAAGGCCTACAAAGAGAGTTCGTAAGGGTACATATACGTCTGATAAATGCTTTTTCAGGGAGGTGAAAATGATTCTTGATTGAACAGATCCATAAAAATCAGGAATTAAAACAAGTCAGGTTGAATTTAGTTATCGAAACGTAATAAGCTAACACCTTGCTCTGTGGAGCATATCTAACCCATACTGTCTATTTTATGATTACAGCAACACGTTTTTCATATTATTTACATATCTTAAAAGTGAATCACGTCCCTTTCTAGTTCCATTTGCATTGAACACTGTCATTAATAAAGCGAGCGAGGGTCATTTACGACAAACGATGACATATAATTTACACCGAAGGAATATTTTGACTTCAAATGATTTAGACATGTTTTCCCCTGAGAAGATCATGTAACTCAGTCATTTACTTCTTTTTCAAGTTATGCCAATAACCGTTAGTTGTATGAGAATATAGTGCAAGGCCAAGACAGATTTCTGTTGCGTGTACTAATTATAATGCAGCACCAGACGCTTTATAGATTATAAAATAACCTGCAAGCGAAAACAGGATTGAAGCTAAGCACATGTGTTTTATCTATAAGTTTACATAATACATAAACCAAAGCGATGCTATCAGGTCGCCTTTTATCCAGGCATGTTAATCGATAATCATTTACTTGTCTATTCCAATTTCGTCCCACCTTGATATTGTTCAATTCGGATTTCTCCAAGTCTCTCTCCTTGCCTAAATTGGACCATCCCCTGAAAAGTTAAGAAAATTGTATGAATAGCAGTGAGTCCTTGAAAGTTACTATATCAGTCCAAATCAAGATAAATGGCAAAGTGGTGAAATTGCCAGNCAATCAATTTAAGGCCTAAGAGTTAGCATTGCATGTTAACACTTGCACATCAGTTTTTATCTTAAATGTCACATCATTAGCAGCTGTAAATAAAGGGCATCACTTTGCATGTTCGACAAAAAAGTTTACTGAAGCCTACGCGCAACCTATAGCCAAGAGACGAATACCAATTACTGTGTCTAATAACTGTGTTTGTGCGGTAAGAATATCACGAGCACCTTACCTGACCAGGCTATGGTGTCTGGGCGGAAAATGAGCCGATCCGACGACATGTTGAAATAACCGACGTTGATCATATCTTCTCCACCTGAGATTAAAATAAATACTCGTTATTATCTTGCCAAAATAAATAAATAAATAAAGTAATAAATAAATAAAGTAATAAATTAATAAATAAATAATAGAATGCATTTAAAAAGGGGAGAACAGTTATGAACAATTTGGTGAATTTTATCAAGAAATCATTATTTCTCTTTTAACTCATGTGTCTATGAAACATGCCAATAAAGTGACGAAACTAAATAAATTCAACCTTTCAAGGTTGTCTTACAACAGTGCTGCCATTTAATCAAATAATACTTTATTCATGGGTAAAAGTGGCTTGCGCTGTTACTAGTAACCCTGAAAAATTGTATAAAAACAGTATTCAAAACCACCAATCATAGAAACAAGCGTGTTCCTCACAATCCAACACACGTACATAATACAGCAAAATTTGACGTTCCAAAGAGAAATCGATGGTAATGATCGACAGGCATAATTCTCAGACTCCCGCCCAGTGGGATACAACGTAGATGAAATCGACAGAATCGTACTAATGGACGGACCTCTCATCATATAGTACATAATTTGATTTCGCCACTTTATAGGGTCCCAAGCTATCGCACACAATAAAGCTTGCACAATATTATTTTTAAAGTGAATACTTATATGTTACATGTGCACGGGCTTCTACGTCCCAAATGTGTCACAGCGTCTTTCTAAATATAAGAAAAATGTAAACTTCTTCACTGATATAGACTTGCTTCGGGAGGTCGTGGCTTCGACCTTAAACACTGTGTCATAACAAAGACAAGAAAAATGCACGAAAAAAATGAGGGATGGTGCCCATGTTGTCTCCTCACACAGCAGAATACAGAGTTCTTAAAATCTTAAAAGACCTTTCTCGATAGAAATTACTATTTATATCATTATTTTGTAAGGCCTACAAAGAGAGTTCGTAAGGGTACATATACGTCTGATAAATGCTTTTTCAGGGAGGTGAAAATGATTCTTGATTGAACAGATCCATAAAAATCAGGAATTAAAACAAGTCAGGTTGAATTTAGTTATCGAAACGTAATAAGCTAACACCTTGCTCTGTGGAGCATATCTAACCCATACTGTCTATTTTATGATTACAGCAACACGTTTTTCATATATTTACATATCTTAAAAGTGAATCACGTCCCTTTCTAGTTCCATTTGCATTGAACACTGTCATTAATAAAGCGAGCGAGGGTCATTTACGACAAACGATGACATATAATTTACACCGAAGGAATATTTTGACTTCAAATGATTTAGACATGTTTTCCCCTGAGAAGATCATGTAACTCAGTCATTTACTTCTTTTTCAAGTTATGCCAATAACCGTTAGTTGTATGAGAATATAGTGCAAGGCCAAGACAGATTTCTGTTGCGTGTACTAATTATAATGCAGCACCAGACGCTTTATAGATTATAAAATAACCTGCAAGCGAAAACAGGATTGAAGCTAAGCACATGTGTTTTATCTATAAGTTTACATAATACATAAACCAAAGCGATGCTATCAGGTCGCCTTTTATCCAGGCATGTTAATCGATAATCATTTACTTGTCTATTCCAATTTCGTCCCACCTTGATATTGTTCAATTCGGATTTCTCCAAGTCTCTCTCCTTGCCTAAATTGGACCATCCCCTGAAAAGTTAAGAAAATTGTATGAATAGCAGTGAGTCCTTGAAAGTTACTATATCAGTCCAAATCAAGATAAATGGCAAAGTGGTGAAATTGCCAGAGAGCTGTAACATGTAATGCAATTCCACAATTAAAAAACAAACTGATTTAGTTATTCAAATCGTTGTTTTCTATTTCATCAATTCTACCCGGGGCTGGGGGTATTTCACTGTACCGTTACACCCTTAAACGACGTGGTGTTCATCATGAGTTCGAACAACTCTGACATAAAAGGGGTTGGGTTATCTTTCGGTAGAGGAAGACTGCCTTTGTACACCCGCAACAGCTTTTGTACTGCAAGAGCAATGGCCCAAACACCGTCATATGCGTAACCATGAAAGCGAGCGTAGGTCGTATTGCGGGCCTTGTTGTATTCGGTTAAATACTCCTCTGGTTTCTACAATGAAAATAACGTTGACCTGTGTAAGGTAAAGGGTTCAGTTTTTTTTCAAAAAACACAAATTGTTAAATTCAGAAGCAACTTATTCCTTCAAGTAAGTTCCTTCAAATTATTTTCTTCAAATTTTACTCAGACAAGGTAATAAATGGCAAGAATGATAACAAGCCTTTAAAAACAGGTATTATTAACCTAAAATGGTTATCTAATAATATATTGGATCTAAAAATTCACCCATCCAGTTCGTTATTTTTATCGATTACAGTAATGAAAATCACATACGACTGTAATTTTCAGTTCATAATACACTCTTAATGAAGTTAGATCTTATTAATGAAGCTACATGTACACACTGACCAATCCAGCCACAGTATCGCCTTGGCCGCTTGTCAGCTCTGGAATGTCTGTACCGAAGGCATAGGTAAAGGCCTCCTGAAGCTCCTCTGGCGAACAGTCGATGTCCTCGGTGTCCTCGGGGGGATCCATCCACCATCTGGATGTAAACCCTGCCAGCACTATCCAGACGTATTTGGGCCCGTACAAGCCCTCTTTGTAGGCCTAACCAAATAATAATAATAATAATAATATTTAATAATATATATATTTAGTTACCTCTATCAAGAATGGTGTTTTTAAGACTTTTACAGCATTCAATGAAATATACGAAATTCAATGTTGAATGACAATAAATATATTTTGGTGAAGGGTCGAAACGTTAAATCTCACATGTACTATTGGCCATCTTTACACAGGAGACGTTGGAAAACTGCAATATATACTTTATGTCGTAGATTCTAGTTAGATAACCAGTACGAATTTGTAGCAAAAACTAACACTTGTGCTATATAATCCATAGATTAAAGACGATGCTCTCTTTTATAGCTCGTGATGTATTCAAATCCGTCTTCAGAAGAAATCTAAGAATGATGTTTTACCGTTTTAGCAAGTCATGATACAATAGGATTTTAGGATTGTTGATTTCTAAGAATAGTCAATTGTCAGCCTTACTGAAGTAGCTACCAAACGGCACAGCTTAAGAATAAAAAAGAAATGATGGAGACGTGTGCCGAGGAAAGGCATCGAAAGGATTGATCGAATTGTTGCTACAGGTCATTCACTGGCAGTAAACATAAAATACAACGATCGTTTTTGCACTCCTACACTCGGCCAAGCGGATAATGTACAACTCGTAACTCAAGCTACACTACACGTTGCAATCGAATTGGCTCAGTTTTACAGGGCGTTAGCGCACAGTTGCGCAGCGGTGGAGAAAAAGCAAGCTGGTTACTTGACTTGACAGCAAGTAGCTATTTACAATATTTCTGATTTGCGAAATGATTGACTGTCGAATCCAATCGGCCAAAAACGCTGTCTGACATTTTAAGTTACACGCGACAACATACCCACTTCCATATTCTCCAGAATCTGGTCCAATGCATAATATGAAGGGCGAAGCTTTTTTGTTTTAAAGGAAGCGCCAATGGAATACATGTAGGCCTACTGCACATTTAATACCGTGATGGATACAAACAAGTAATAGAATGTTATCTTGGATCATGTAGCTAAATGCCTAGAAATGATGAATGTAGATATGTCGAAAATCTGTCATATTTTAGAAGCAGATTGTGCCTTCGTTAGTTTTTTTCCTACAAGTCCCTGTGGTATCACTAACAAGTTCTTGCGGTATCACTAAGTTCCTGTGATATCACTCATAAGTCCCTGGGGGTATCTCTCGTACTTTAAGAAAAAAAAAAAAAAAAACAATGATGCGGTGTGAGCGTGAAGGATACTTTGTGTTAAGTTAGGATGATAATACAGTCATAGAGCCGCCTATCAGAGCGAGTGCCTGAAGCAGCCCTTAAAACTCTCAGTTCTAAACCTTTTTGTTCCTGAGTCGCGTCGTCATGGAGAAAGCAGTTAAGGGGTGATTGAAGCTATTGCACAGACCCAAGGGGAATAAGAGATGGAGATCCAGGGCTGCGTCTGATTCTATTCTATTCTATTCGGAAGAATTAATATATTTGTAATTTAGAAATAAAGTGTTTGTACCGTAAACTTACCGCACAAAAAACCTTCCAAGCCATGACTTCGGCGAAATTACCTAGGAAAATTCTGGCGCCGCTGTCCTGTGGAAGGAAACAACACACTACAGTAGTCTAATAACTGTTTAAATTTAACAAAGACCACTTATTTACTTCTGTCCCAGTGGGAGTAAAAGGCATATGCTAAGACCCTTGTTTAGTGGGTCATAGGCATAAGCTAGTCAGTAGGAAGAATTAATAATGCACAATACTGAAATGAAATTCAATGTTATCCTACAACAATTCGTGTTTCCTGCACGCCTTGTTCCACACTTTTTTGGTTACCACGAAGCAAAGATCAGAAAGTAAATCGTAAAGTCCTGGTTTCTATTTCTAGATACTGGTCAAAGGAGGAGATTACATTGATCAAACTGTCAAGTTTCATATAAACAATAAATGAATGAATTGTAGAGGTTTCAGGTTTCCAGTCAAACACTTACTCCCCCAGGTTCATATACTTCCAAGTGTATCAATTGAAAGCTTTTTCACTGATAAAAATTACTGAACCAGGCATGCAGTACTAATTCTCCCTTTAATTCAAAGATACAGTAATGTCAGTGAAAGCAGATATATAATGTACATGTATATCAGAAAGAACGCCGACTGTAAAGCTATCTTAGCTAAACAGGTAATGCTAGTGCTAAGAAAAAATGCAATCATTTGAACCAATCTCATCCTAAATAATCTTCTACTCTGTACTTCTTCTTCTTAAAGAGATAACAACTCTTCGTTTTGGGCACAAAACGACTTTTCCTGGGGTACACGACGATTTTCCCAGATTTACCAATGGTTAATGAATCCATCCCAACATTCAAAGTTATTCCATGTTTTTTTCTGAAAAGAGATTATTGCGGGGGTATAGCCACCCATGAAGGTCCACGTGGTCTGATGCCAAGCACTGGTTCCAGAATAATTGCAATAATCGCTGTTTTGGTGGTACAATGGAATTAATTATATTTTTATTGTTGTTTACAATGTTTTTACTGTGAAACACGAACAGTTATTATCCCTTCAACTTTAGAATAATTAGTGATTCCTGACACAGCAACGTTTTTATCTAAAACAAACCACCAATAAAGACCGATTGCTAATAGGATGAGATTAAGTAAGTATATAAACGATGAGGTATGCATATGGCGCTCACCTTAAAGATAACAATCCCAAGTGACCAACGTGTCTCAGCAGGACTAAGTAAGCTTTTGCATGAAGATAACTCAAGGTAGCACCAGCTTTTTCAGATTACATATTACATCACCCAAAAGGTAATAACACAAGTAGCAACCCTAAAATATTATTTGCAACAAATTGAACGCCAAACACTCATTACTCAACATGTGTAGTTGTTTACTGAGACCATGTACTTATTTCATCCCACTAAATCCAATAACGGACATCACAGTAGCAAAAATAGTATATGCTACCAGGGGTCCCTTCAGATGCAGATGCGCCGCGGTAAGGCATCTTTATAACATATGTTTTAAGGTATTGGCTTGTTTTACTCCTGACTGCCTGGACCGATATTGAAGTGTCAGAGAGAATGGTTGAAACGTGAGCTCGGTTGCCCAATTTGACGACATTTAAAATACCGGCAATCACTAGACACTAAAATCGCTCGGTTAATAGGTGAAAATAGCAAAATACGATATTTTGACTAAGAGATAAATTTAATCAGTAGCTTCATTTTCAGATACCTTTAGATATAATCGTAGAGTAATCATCCGTGATAATCATTTCCCTGTCTCCAAATTTGGTACATCTGTCTACTAAGTGGCAGGGGTATGGACGTTTAAAAACTAGAGCCCTTTGAAACACAAATAGGTTTTCAACACTGAGCCCGTTTCTTGCCATGGGGTTTTTCTCACCTTCGCCCCTTAATTTGCTTCGTTATTTTTGATGCTTTTTGAAACACCAGTGCAAGATAAGCCCTAGGAGTTCACATGTGGGGCGCAAACGGTCTCAATGTAATTGTGCTCTTTGATCTCTGCAAGTAGTTTTGTTTCCACTATCATTAGGCAATACGCAGGTGTGCTTGATTCGGTCAAACTTTAAACATTTTGGTACAATCCGATACGCCTGTTGTGCGGTGGTTTTTGTAAAACTGCATGAGCTCAGAACTTTGATAACGTAAAGAAAACAAATAACCAAATAACACAAAAGAGTCCAAATATGATTCAAGATTATCACAAGGCAGGGAGTTTTTGTATCAAAATGAATATCTGTCATTGATCATGCCTACTTAGAGCATAAATATTCCATGTTCAAAAGGTTGAACATTTGATGCATATTTTTAAAAATCCAAATTTCTGATCAGGAGGCTGATAGCCTAATGCGATTCGTTCAAAACAAGATTATGAAAAATAATGTCTTGAAAACGCACTTTGATACAATGATTGGATAAGATGACGCGGACACTATGCAGTAATGGAAAGTTCCGAGACCACGATTATCACCACTTTGCACCTGGAGGAAAATGTTACCCTTTACCTTGAGACCCCCAAACGCCTTTCACTTCCACTCTCGGTTGCATTTGCCATAACTCAATAGCTTGGCGATACATATAAGATAAGGGCCCTTTGAAGTACATAGGTTTTCAACAATTTCGTATTAATATTTTTTTTGTTTTAACTTCGCCCCATAATTTGCTTCGTTATTTTTGCTGCTATTTGAAACACCAGTGCCAATTTCAACCCAGCATTTTCCCATTATCAAGGCTGCAAACAGTTTCAGTTTCTTTGATCTTTGGCAGTAAATAAATAGATATGCTCATACATTGACCAGTACCTTAAGACTTCTCACCGCCACAGTGGGGTCGGTACTGAAGCTTTCCGATTTGACGATTTGAACATCTGCGCTATCTAAACCTCTGATAAGATGGTTGTGTGCCTGAGAAAAGCAACGAAAGAAATTATATATTAAACTTACGACAATTTATAGGCTTAGTTTTATACATTTTGCTTTCTTTCATGGTACAATTGCCTACATTTAAACGATTTTATCTTGGTGATTAGTTGGTGAATTCGTCTAATGCCAAGGTAACACGGCAAAACCCTTTTACCAGCCTTTTATGCAAGCATACTTATATACATGTAATAAGCTTACGTATGAGTATCTTGACGTCCCTCCGGATGCCTCCTGAAACAGTGTTGCCACTTTTTTCCACCTAAATTTCCTCAGCAGTTGAATTCGGGCAGAGTTAAAATCGGTGTCACTGGGAATTGTCCGGAAAAAGTTTGGATAGGCGGCGTTGTCGGAGAGGACCGGATTCGTATCAGCATATGAGATCTAGTAAAAAAAAATGAATAATTTCAGCTCTGAAATCTGTCGTCGGAAAAAATATACATTATGCTGAGGAACTTTGCAGCGTCGCACTGATGAGAATTAGCACTGATTGAACGATATGCAAGGAATTCTTGAATGTGGAATGGTCTGAAAACGTATAGCGTTGAAAATAAACAGTTGGATAAGAGACCCTAATGTTTTCACAAATAACAAGTGCTTGACCAACCTGCAACATTTTCCAAAATTTGGCTGTTTCGGCCAGGGGTGCCGTCACCTGTGAACAGGCGTCGCCGAACAAGATCACCATAGGGGTCAAGGTCTCATTGTTCAACATGTCAAAGAAGAATTTGGTCCCAATAGCCATGTCACACTGCTCACATAAAAAACATAAAGAATATTCAATACATTAAAATGTCACTGGTAAGCGCTTGACAAAATCTGTTTGTTTTTCTCTACATATAGGGTCTATGGCTTTATTCTTTGCAAACAGGCCACTATATTTCCACATCACATTTGACAATACATATCTAGAGATGTTACGTGACCGTGGCTATATCGCTCGGGTGACAGAGCATTATCTCACTCGTAATCCATATTTTGTTATGACGCATCATCACCATACACAACGATGATATGGCTGTAAATGTTCATTTACGTCCTCAGATTTGTGAGAAAATCAAAGAAAAACAAGTACCATCATCAGTCTATACCTTTTTAGATGAATCAGATTTAGATAATTAGTTCTACCAAAGTGCAAGGCAAGGGAATACGCGTTTTGCACACAAGCTCTTCAAAACACTGTGTGCAAGACGGTGATTTCATCATTATTTTTCATGGGCATCGATTTAATTAATTCTCAACCTCAACTTGTATGTTATGATAGTGGGTCTTTAATGGGCGCAACACTACAGGTCATTCTATGGTTTGAACTCAATCAAGACCACTGATATGATATATATATTTGAATTATACAGACCGCCATCAGGATAAAAAAAACGCGTGCCGTCTTATTCTTTGTATCATCAATAAAACAATACCCTGACTCAACTCTTCAAAGTAGGCAGCAAGCTCTCTTTTGCAGACGGGCACACTGAGCTGAGAGAAAATTACAGGGAGTTTAGTCTCTCAACTCGCAACATGATCACAGCGATCCAGCAGTTCCACAAAATGAACATTTAGTGAGAACAAATTTTAAGTTAAAACGACGTACATTAATACATGGACTTTGATGGTTTTGTGGCAGACAAAAATGTTCAGCGTGTTTGTACGATTCCTGTTCAGGTAAAATGCTTAGATCATTGACCTCCGATCATTGTTCTATTTACATGATTTGGAACGCCGTATAAGAAATATACTTCCCGTGTGCATTTCTATTATTTCTCCGTCAAGATTAATTTGTTCTGACTACTATGTGTTGGCTGGCATGTGTTATGCATTCTAACTCCATTGTAACAGACTAGATTGGTCTAGTTGACTTCTTTATCCAGTGCTTGGAGTCGAATTCCAATTGCATAAGGAAAAGATAACAGATTGCCTCAATCTATGGGTACAGGATGCATTTCATTCATTTGTCATCGATCCAGACATCAATCCAACCAAGCAGTCAACCAACAAGGCAACCCATGCACAATCGACCAAAAGATCACCCACCTTTTCTTCTTTCCATCTTTCATTTTTGTCAATTTGGTGTTATAAATCTAAATCTTCCCTTCACCTGCATATATCATTTATCCCATTATCCCGGATTATCATTTTTCGAAACCTTTAAGGCATGCTGTAGTGTCTGTTCGGTAATAAAAGTTCCGAAGACTGGCTTGCTCTATTAGGATGATCACGAAAGGGAAAATTGAGTGAGTGAAACGAGTAATTGAAAATCATCTGATTAATTGTTCCTTTGCTTCCGATTCTCATTTACATTAAATTGTGGTAATATTCCATTGTTTTAGGATAATTGGTTTCTGTCGTGGATTGAAAACAAAACGGTAATGTAATAAAGAGAAATGAAGCCCGCTGGGAGGCAAAAACATATTATCTCTGCTTTACAGCAGTCAGCAACAAAATAATTGCATACAAGATGGAAATCATATTCATGACCAAAACGAAACATTTCTGAATGTCCTATTTTACGGTTCAGTTAGACACTAGGAAACAAAAATCTCTTGGCTACAAATTATGTGTCATTTTGCATACACTGGGATTCCTTTAATCGACTTCAGAGATGTACGTCAATTTTTCATTGCCAATCACTACATCAAATGATTTCCGACTAGAATGCAACAAATTGCATTCTAATTAAGACATGAGAAAATCACCAGTGTTTTATTACCAAACAAATGACAATAAGACGTGATTGAGAGTCGGTTACAGTACGTAAAGCATTATCAATAGAGACATGTATGTGTCCACGCATAACAGATTTTAATGCCAACTAAAGAAACAAGCACTTTTCCAAATAGAAAATTGAAAACAACACACGGCTATCATCAATGTTTCATCTAAAGAAGATCCTGCTGACTACAATGTGCATGTATATGTATAACTCGTCGTACAAATCATCATTATTTTGCCGCCAGACAAATAACGTTCTTGACATGATAACGTTAGAAGATCTCGACACGTAACAATAATGTTACTGGTGCTCGAACTCAAGATCAACAAGGGTCTTCCAAAATCAAGTAGAATACGGAACAGCTCATAATTATACAAATCTTCCCGTACATTATATTTACAAGGTGAAAGCCTAAAGGCACCTTTGTCTGCAAGCGCGTCGTTAAACAGGTACGGCCGATNAAGTCCACAATAAAAAAACAAACTGATTTAGTTATTCAAATCGTTGTTTTCTATTTCATCAATTCTACCCGGGGCTGGGGGTATTTCACTGTACCGTTACACCCTTGAACGACGTGGTGTTCATCATGAGTTCGAACAACTCTGACATAAAAGGGGTTGGGTTATCTTTCGGTAGAGGAAGACTGCCTTTGTACACCCGCAACAGCTTTTGTACTGCAAGAGCAATGGCCCAAACACCGTCATATGCGTAACCATGAAAGCGAGCGTAGGTCGTATTGCGGGCCTTGTTGTATTCGGTTAAATACTCCTCTGGTTTCTACAATGAAAATAACGTTGACCTGTGTAAGGTAAAGGGTTCAGTTTTTTTTTTTTAAACACAAATTGTTAAATTCAGAAGCAACTTATTCCTTCAAGTAAGTTCCTTCAAATTATTTTCTTCAAATTTTACTCAGACAAGGTAATAAATGGCAAGAATGATAACAAGCCTTTAAAAACAGGTATTATTAACCTAAAATGGTTATCTAATAATATATTGGATCTAAAAATTCACCCATCCAGTTTGTTATTTTTATCGATTACAGTAATGAAAATCACATACGACTGTAATTTTCAGTTCATAATACACTCTTAATGAAGTTAGATCTTATTAATGAAGCTACATGTACACACTGACCAATCCAGCCACAGTATCGCCTTGGCCGCTTGTCAGCTCTGGAATGTCTGTACCGAAGGCATAGGTAAAGGCCTCCTGAAGCTCCTCTGGCGAACAGTCGATGTCCTCTGTGTCCTCGGGGGGATCCATCCACCATCTGGATGTAAACCCTGCCAGCACTATCCAGACGTATTTGGGCCCGTACAAGCCCTCTTTGTAGGCCTAGCCAAATAATAATAATAATAATAATATTTAATAATATATATATTTAGTTACCTCTATCAAGAATGGTGTTTTTAAGACTTTTACAGCATTCAATGAAATATACGAAATTCAATGTTGAATGACAATAAATATATTTTGGTGAAGGGTCGAAACGTTAAATCTCACATGTACTATTGGCCATCTTTACACAGGAGACGTTGAAAAACTGCAATATATACTTTATGTCGTAGATTCTAGTTAGATAACCAGTACGAATTTGTAGCAAAAACTAACACTTGTGCTATATAATCCATAGATTAAAGACGATGCTCTCTTTTATAGCTCGTGATGTATTCAAATCCGTCTTCAGAAGAAATCTAAGAATGATGTTTTACCGTTTTAGCAAGTCATGATACAATAGGATTTTAGGATTGTTGATTTCTAAGAACAGTCAATTGTCAGCCTTACTGAAGTAGCTACCAAACGGCACATGGAGACGTGTGCCGAGGAAAGGCATCGAAAGGATTGATCGAATTGTTGCTACAGGTCATTCACTGGCAGTAAACATAAAATACGACGATCGTTTTTGCACTCCTACACTCGGCCAAGCGGATAATGTGCAACTCGTAACTCAAGCTACACTACACGTTGCAATCGAATTGGCTCAGTTTTACAGGGCGTTAGCGCACAGTTGCGCAGCGGTGGAGAAAAAGCAAGCTGATTACTTGACTTGACAGCAAGTAGCTATTTACAATATTTCTGATTTGCGAAATGATTGACTGTCGAATCCAATCGGCCAAAAACGCTGTCTGACATTTTAAGTTACACGCGACAACATACCCACTTCCATATTCTCCAGAATCTGGTCCAATACATAATATGAAGGGCGAAGCTTTTTTGTTTTAAAGGAACCGCCAATGAAATACATGTACTGCACATTTAATACCGTATAATGGATACAAGCAAGTAATAGAATGTTATCTTGGATCATGTAGCTAAATGCCTAGAAATGATGAATGTAGAGATGTCGAAAATCTGTCATATTTTAGAAGCAGATTGTGCCTTCGTTAGTTTTTTTCCTACAAGTCCCTGTGGTATCACTAACAAGTTCTTGCGGTATCACTAAGTTCCTGTGATATCACTCATAAGTCCCTGGGGGTATCTCTCGTACTTTTAGAAAAAAAAAAAAAAAAAACAATGATGCGGTGTGAGCGTGAAGGATACTTTGTGTTAAGTTAGGATGATAATACAGTCATAGAGCCGCCTATCAGAGCGAGTGCCTGAAGCAGCCCTTAAAACTCTCAGTTCTAAACCTTTTTGTTCCTCAGTCGCGTCGTCATGGAGAAAGCAGTTAAGGGGTGATTGAAGCTATTGCACTGACCCAAGGGGAATAAGAGATGGAGATCCAGGGCTGCGTCTGATTCTATTCTATTCTATTCGGAAGAATTAATATATTTGTAATTTAGAAATAAAGTGTTTGTACCGTAAACTTACCGCACAAAAAACCTTCCGAGCCATGACTTCGGCGAAATTACCTAGGAAAATTCTGGCGCCGCTGTCCTGTGGAAGGAAACAACACACTACAGTAGTCTAATAACTGTTTAAATTTAACAAAGACCACTTATTTACTTCTGTCCCAGTGGGAGTAAAAGGCATATGCTAGGACCCTTGTTTAGTGGGTCATAGGCATAAGCTAGTCAGTAGGAAGAATTAATAATGCACAATACTGAAATGAAATTCAATGTTATCCTACAACAATTCGTGTTTCCTGCACGCCTTGTTCCACACTTTTTTGGTTACCACGAAGCAAAGATCGGAAAGTAAATCGTAAGCTCTAGTTTCTATTTCTAGATACTGGTCAAAGGAGGAGATTACATTGATCAAACTGTCAAGTTTCATATAAACAATAAATGTATGAATTGTAGAGGTTTCAGGTTTCCAGTCAAACACTTACTCCCCCAGGTTCATATACTTCCAAGTGTATCAATTGAAAGCTTTTTCACTGATAAAAATTACTGAACCAGGCATGCAGTACTAATTCTCCCTTTAATTCAAAGATACAGTAATGTCAGTGAAAGCAGATATATAATGTACATGTATATCAGAAAGAACGCCGACTGTAAAGCTATCTTAGCTAAACAGGTAATGCTAGTGCTAAGAGGAAATGCAATCATTTGAACCAATCTCATTCCATATAATCTTCTACTCCGTACTTCTTCTTCTTAGAGAGATAACAACTCTTCGTTTTGGTCAAAAAACGAATTTTCCTGGGGTAAACGACGATTTTCCCAGATTTACCAATGGTTAATGAATCCATTCCAATATTCAAATTTATTCCAAGTTTTTTTTTCTAAAAAGAGATTATTGGGGGGGGGGGGGGTATAGCCATACATGAAGGTCCACGTGGTCTGATGGCAAGCACTGGTTCCAAATTAATTGCAATAATCGCTGTTTTGGTGGTAAAATGTAATTAATTATATTTTAATGGTTGTTTACAATGATTTTACTGTATTCAACTTTAGAATTATTAGTGATTCCTGCCACAGCAACGTTTTTATCTAAAACAAACCACCAATAATGACCGATTGCTAATAGGATGAGATTAAGGAAGTATATAAACGATGAGGTATGCATATGGCGTAGCCGCTCACCTTAAAGATAACAATCCCAAGTGACCAACGTGTCTCAGCAAGACTAAGTAAGCTTTTGCATGAAGATAACTCAAGGTAGCACCAGCTTTTTCAGATTACATATTACATCACCCAAAAGGAAATAACACGAGTAGCAACCCTAAAATATTATTTGCAACAAATTGAACGCCAAACACTCATTACTCAACATGTGTAGTTGTTTACTGAGACTATGTACTTATTTCATCCCACTAAATCCAATAACGGACATCACAGTAGCAAAAATAGTATATGCTACCAGGGGTCCCTTCATATGCAGATGCGCCGCGGTAAGGCATCTTTATAACATATGTTTAAAGGTACTGGCATGTTTTACTCCTGACTGCCTGGACCGATATTGAAGTGCCAGAGAGAATGGTTGAAACGTGAGCTCGGTTGCCCAGTTTGACGACATTTAAAATACCGGCAATCACTAGACACTAAAATCGCTCGGTTAATGGGAGGAAATAGCAAAATACGATATTTTGACTAAGAGATAAATTTAATCAGTAGCTTCATTTTCAGATACCTTTAGATATAATCGTAGAGTAATCATCAGTGATAATCATGGCCCTGTCTCCAAATTTGGTACATCTGTCTACTAAGAGGCAGGGGTATGGGCGTTTAAAAACTAGAGCCCTTTGAACCACAAATTGGTTTTCAACACTGAGCCCGTTTCTTACCATGGGATTTTTCTCACCTTCGCCCCTTAATTTGCTTCGTTATTTTTTATGCTTTTTGAAACACCAGTGCAATCTAAGCCCTAGGAGTTCATATGTGGGGCGCAAACGGTCTCAATGTAATTGTGCTCTTTGATCTCTGCAAGTAGTTTTGTTTCCACTATCATTAGGCAATACGCAGGTGTGCTTGATTCGGTCAAACCTTAAACATTTTGGAACAATCCGATACGCCTGTTGTGCGGTGGTTTTTGTAAAACTGCATGAGCTCAAAACTTTGATAAAGTAAAGAAACCAAATAACCGAATAATACAAAAGTGTCCAAATATCATTCAAAATTATCACAAGGCAGGGAATTTTTTGTATCAAAATGAATATCTGTTATTGATCATGCCTACTTAGAGCATAAATATGCCATATTAAAAAGGTTGAACATTTGATACATATTTTTAAAAATCCAATTAGTGATGAGGTAACGAGGCTGATAGTCTAATGCGATTCGTTCAAAACAAGATTATGAAAAATAATGTCTTGAAAACGCACTTTGATACAATGATTGGATAAGATGACGCGGACACTATGGAATAATGGAAAGTTCCGAGAACACGATTATCACCACTTTGCACCTGGAGGAAAATGTTACCCTTTACCTTGAGACCCCCAAACGCCTTTTACTTCCACTCTCGGTTGCATTTGCTATAACTCAATACCTTGGAGATACATATAAGATAAGGGCCCTTTGAAGCACATAGGTTTTCAACAATTTCGTACTTTGTAATTTTTCGTATTAACTTTGCTCCATAATTTGCTTCGTTATTTTTGCTGCTATTTGAAACACCAGTGCCAATTTCAACCCAGCATTTTCCTATTATTAAGGCTGCAAACAGTTTCAGTTTCTTTGATCTTTGGCAGTAAATAAATAGATATGCTCATGCATTGACCAGTACCTTAAGACTTCTCACCGCCACAGTGGGGTCGGTACTGAAGCTTTCCGATTTGACGATTTGAACATCTGCGCTATCTAAACCTCTGATAAGATGGTTGTGTGCCTGAGAAAAGCAACGAAAGAAATTATATATTTAACTTACGACAATTTATAGGCTTAGTTTCATACATTGTGCTTTGTTTCATGGTACAATTGCCTACAATTAAAACTTTAACGATTTTATCTTGGTGACTAGTTGGTGAACTCGTCTAAAGCCAAGGTAACACGTTAAAACCCTTTTACCAGCTTTTTATGCAAGCATACATGTAATAAGCTTACGTATGAGTATCTTGACGTCCCTCCGGATGCCTCCTGAAACAGTGTTGCCACTTTTTTCCAATTAAAGCGCCTCAGCAACTGAATTCGGGCAGAGTTAAAATCGGTGTCACTGGGAATTGTCCGGAAAAAGTTTGGATAGGCGGCGTTGTCGGAGAGGACCGGATTCGTATCAGCATATGAGATCTAGTAAAAAAAATGAATAATTTCAGCTCTGAAATCTGTCGTCGGAAAAAAAATATACATTATGCTGAGGAACTTTGCAACGTCGCACTGATGAGAATTAGCACTGATTGAACGATATGCAAGGAATTCTTGAATGTGGAATGGTCTGAAAACATATAGCGTTGAAAATAAACAGTTGGATAAGAGACCCTAATGTCTTCACAAATAACAAGTGCTTGACCAACCTGCAACATTTTCCAAAATTTGGCTGTTTCGGCCAGGGGTGCCGTCACCTGTGAACAGGCGTCGCCAAACAAGATCACCATAGGGGTCAAGGTCTCATTGTTCAACATGTCAAAGAAGAATTTGGTCCCAATAGCCATGTCACACTGCTCACATAAAAAACATAAGGAATATTCAATACATTAAAATGTCACTGGTAAGCGCTTGACAAAATCTGTTTGTTTTTCTCTACATATAGGGTCTATGGCTTTATTCTTTGCAAACAGGCCACTAGTTCCACATCACATTTGACAATACATATCTAGAGATGTTACGTGACCGTGGCTATATCGCTCGGGTGACAGAGCATTATCTCACTCGTAATCCATATTTTGTTATGACACTTCATCACCATACACAACAATGATATGGCTGTAAATGTTCATTTACGTCCTCAGATTTGTGAGAAAATCAAAGAAAAACAAGTACCATCATCATTCTATACATTTTTCGATGAATCAGATTTAGATAATTAGTTCTACCAAAGTGCAAGGCAAGGGAATACGCGTTTTGCACACAAGCTCTTCAAAACACTGTGTGCAAGACGGTGATTTCATCATTATTTTTCATGGGCATCGATTTAATTAATTCTCAACCTCAACTTGTATGTTATGATAGTGGATCTTTAATGGGCGCAACACTACAGGTCATTCTATGGTTTGAACTCAATCAAGACCACTGATATGATATATATATTTGAGTTATACAGACCGCTATCAGGATAAAGAAAACGCGTGCCGTCTTATTCTTTGTTTCATCAATAAAACAATACCCTGACTCAACTCTTCAAAGTAGGCAGCAAGCTCTCTTTTGCAGACGGGCACACTGAGCTGAGAGAAAATTACAGGGAGTTTAGTCTCTCAACTCGAAACATGATCACAGCGATCCAGCAGTTCCACAAAATGAACATTAAGTGAGAACAAATTTTAAGTTAAAACGACGTACATTAATACATGGATTTTGATTGTTTTGTGGCAGACAAAAATGGTCAGCGTGTTTGTACGATTCCTGTTCAGGTAAAATGCTTAGATCATTGACCTCCGATCATTGTTCTATTTACATAATTTGGAACGCCGTATAAGAAATATACTTCCCGTGTGCATTTCTATTATTTCTCCGTCAAGATTAATTTGTTCTGACTACTATGTGTTGGCTGGCATGTGTTATGCATTTTAACTCCATTGTAACAGACTAGATTGGTCTAGTTGACTTCTTTATCCAGTGCTTGGAGTCGAATTCCAATTGCATAAGGAAAAGATAACAGATTGCCTCAATCTATGGGTACAGGATGCATTTCATTCATTTGTCATCGATCCAGACATCAATCCAACCAAGCAGTCAACCAACAAGGCAACCCATGCACAATCGACCAAAAGATCACCCACCTTTTCTTCTTTCCATCTTTCATTTTTGTCAAATTGGTGTTATAAATCTAAATCTTCCCTTCACCTGCATATATCATTTATCCCATTATGGATTATCATTTTTCGAAACCTTTAAGGCATGCTGTAGTGTCTGTTCGGTAATTAAAAGTTCCGAAGACTGGCTTGCTCTATTAGGATGATCACGAAAGGGAAAATTGAGTGAGTGAAACGAGTAATTGAAAATCATCTGATTAATTGTTCCTTTGCTTCCGATTCTCATTTACATTAAATTGTGGTAATATTCCATTGTTTTAGGATAATTGGTTTCTGTCGTAGATTGAAAACAAAACGGTAATGTAATAAAGAGAAATGAAGCCCGCTGGGAGGCAAAAACATATTATCTCTGCTTTACAGCAGTCAGCAACAAAATAATTGCATACAAGATGGAAATCATATTCATGACCAAAACGAAACATTTCTGAATGTCCTATTTTACGGTTCAGTTAGACACTAGGAAACAAAAATCTCTTGACTACAAATTATGTGTCATTTTGCATACACTGGGATTCCTTTAATCGACTTCAGAGATGAACGTCAATTTTTCATTGCCAATCACTACATCAAATGATTTCCGACTAGAATGCAACAAATTGCATTCTAATTAAGACATGAGAAAATCACCAGTGTTTTATTACCAAACAGATGACAATAAGACGTGATTGAGAGTCGGTTACAGTACGTAAAGCATTATCAATAGAGACATGTATGTGTCCACGCATAACAGATTTTAATGCCAACTAAAGAAACAAGCACTTTTCCAAATAGAAAATTGAAAACAACACACGGCTATCATCAATGTTTCATCTAAAGAAGATCCTGCTGACTACAATGTACATGTATATGTATAACTCGTCGTACAAATCATCATTATTTTGCCGCCAGACAAATAACGTTCTTGACATGATAACGTTAGAAGATCTCGACACGTAACAATAATGTTACTGGTGCTCGAACTCAAGATCAACAAGGGTCTTCCAAAATCAAGTAGAATACGGAACAGCTCATAATTATACAAATCTTCTCGTACATTATATTTACAAGGTGAAAGCCTAAAGGCACCTTTGTCTGCAAGCGCGTCGTTAAACAGGTACGGCCGATTTCATAAAAGAGGTTTAACTAAACCTAGTTTAAGGCTAAAACCTAGTCTAGCAAAACCTAGTCTAACTCAAGACCTAAATTGCATTTCACTAACAGTGTAGGAATGCCAGAAAACCAGGTTTAGCTAAACCAGTTTTAACTTGTCNGGTAATGTCCAGGAAACCGCCATATAACATGTATTTAACACAAGTAGAAGGCGTTTAGTAAATTTCTGGCCAGGATGTGCGTACTAGAGATGAAAAGGCGATTATTACAACATGTATATTAATATAATTTTGAAAAACTGGTTAGAATATTTAACATAACACGAGTTCAGTCTAACACAAATTATACCAACAAGTAAAAAGTAAATAAATAATCGAAGTTTGAAATAAACAGAAGGTGGATTAGTATAAACAAGTTAAAATATAACGCAAAAAGGGATGTTTACGGTATTAAAACCTGAAGATATGAGTTTTCTTTCTAAATGACGCGGTTTGAAACGCGTGTCCAAGCATGAGCTAGTTAAAGATAAAGAACTCATTATTGGAATATTCAATGTGGTCAGTGTAATAATCAATTGCTGTGTACAAGTGCTCTTGGTAGCATCACGACATCGAAAATCATAATTACTTGATAGAGATTTGCAGAATTTGTTAATATCTTTATTTCTATAGATATTCATCAAAAAGACTTGTGGAGATAAAACACACCCATGGAGCCATTGTCGTTCTGGGAGTGTTGAAAATTTCATTTCCCTTGTGAATATATGTATGTGACACATCGTGGCGTATGAATATTTCACAACCCTCGGTCCAGTCCAAGTTAAGTGAATTAATTGGAACAAGTCGTTGGTAACAATAACGTGTCGGATTGAATCGATTTAAGCTCTGCTGTCAGTTTTGGTATAAGAAGCCTTTTGCATTTATATTTCTTGTTTGCAGCTGCACCCACCGTAAATTACTGTATGTTTTCAAGGATTGAATGCCATCTTACTGCTGCTAAATAAGGCCATTCATCTTTCCACTACATGCAAGACATCACACCAGTTTTTAAACTAATCAGCAGTGTAACATAACATACATGACAGGACAAAAAGGCATGGCTGTGAAGGCCGGTGTCATTGAAACTTGCTGAAAATTGGCAGAGGTAAGCTGCGTCTATGCCTACAGGCATAAAAGTCCATCTAATAAACCTAGACATAATGGTCAATTAAATGAGAATTATCATATCTGCTTTATTGTTAATAACTTCATAGCTTCCCCCGTATTCGATCATCATTTTGATATGGTCATTATTTGAGAGAATCAATCAAAATAAAACGGGGAATGGGAATGTGATTCAAGGAACGGAACTGGCAACCTCTGAATTTTGTTGTATTCTCTGGGATCTAAACGGATAATCTCAGACGTCAAGTACAAATCTATTTCAAATTTTGGATGAATTACATAATATAGTGTATTGATATTCTCAACAATTGAGAGGGCAAAAGAGCCAACGAACCAGAAACAGTTGTACGATTTAACATTATACACGGCGGTTAGACATGCTGTATGACTTAGAACTCCCTTAGTGTGTGCGGTTCCTGCATTTACAAACTACTTTAATCATACATGATAATAATGCACCAGTTAAAATAGCTGTTTGCGATGCTCTGCTTAATTCCAAGCAAAATACTAATCGGTTTCATCATCTACATAAGATCCATTCAGACATAATGGAGACATGGGCCTATTAGTTTAGCACATAGTCAAAGTTTTGTATTTGGAAGGGCTACCTCGCAAATGGAAAAAAATTAGACGTCCTTTTGATTGCCATAATGGTTTCGAATATGCAGAGATTGCAATGTGCAGCAACTGCTAACGTTAACGTGTAAATCACATAGGCTACATTATTACGGCATACACTGTAATTGCGTTATAGCATATGGTTCTGTTTCATCATTGGGACTGTGGTGTTTGGGGAGTCTAATACAGCACTTACACATAGCTGTTAATTCTATGGAAATTCCCCGGGGGATTGGAACCTCTATTATTACATAAAATCGTAATTTGTAGAAGTTATGAAAATATCTCTGAAATTATTTCCACGGCACG